TCTGAACTTTATTTTTAAATGTCACCGTTTTTTATTGAATCAACGGAAATTTGAAAGAAGAAACAGAATAAACATCCAGAGAAGATCAAGGGAGTTAGAAAAATCTTTATATAAAGCCTCATTGAGTTTTACATGAGCCAGGGTGCTGTCAGTCTCCCTGAAAGGGGTGGTGGAATAATCTGTCACTCGACAATGTCAACCTGAGGAGACCGAAAAGACTAATGAAAGGAAAGAGGCTGAATCGTAGTCAGGTTTTTCTTAATAAACTCCGTAACAGCCATCCAAATAAGAGTCATGAATGAAATGCTAAGCACATATCACATGACAAACAAATTTCTTAAAAATAAATTTAAAGCATGGGCTTGAAGTTGGGAGCAGTTTAGTCAATAGTTCAATCCTCCTTATAATTCAGAAGACTTTTGCCTTAATAACAGTGAGAGTGTGTTTTCCATTTTGGAAAACCGTCAATAAATTATTTCAATTTTTAAAGTGTTGACAGCTGATTAAATTTTTCAAAAATATTGAATAGGACAAACAAAACAACTCTGTAGTAAACTGTATTCATCTGTGGCCCACCAGTTTTCAATTTCAAATAGCCTTATTAAAAGTCTTATTTAAAGAGAAAATACCTGCAGTTGATATTCTAAACTGTAACATACATAAAGTGAAATAGCAACATACTGTAAATGTTATTATATACTTGAAAGAAGCAGGTCACACCAGTCTAAGATTTAAATTTCTATCAATTTTACAGTGTGCACTGAGGCATTAGTCCCCTTTACACAAATATAACATTTGCACAGCAAATTGACTCTTTAGCGTATTCTTAGTTATCAACATTTTACAAGTTTAATATATTCAATTAAATAAAAAGCCTGCAAATTCATAAGGTAAAATTCTAGCTAGCTGGACAAGATCAAATAGTTGGCAACATAATTTATTTTAACAACCAGCCTATAAACAGACTGGTCATTGTATTTTTTGCTAATGCATTCTAGAGAATCTGTTATTTCTCCAGTAATGTTATCCTGTATTGTTATTCTCATTTATGAGAAAAGAATGGTCATCTGTCAATAAAAGGATCATATACTGGATAACAGACTTCTATATCATACGAGTGAACTAACTTTTTAAAGAGTTAATGTTGTATATAGAAAATGAGGATATTAAACATGCTCTCTGAAAGTCAATTTAAAAATTAAAAAGAGCCTTAGTAAAAATCTACAAAGAATCAATTAGAATTCATTTAATTTTTCTTGGCAAACAAAAATAAGAGAGCAATTTATCTATATATCTCTATTAAGATGCTCAGAATCATTTCAATTTTTTGCATATCTACTTTTTATATCCAGTGCACAATGCTATGGACTGTATAGGAAACATACAAAGATGCTGAGTACCAAATTGCATATGAAATAACAAAAGATTTATAACAAATACAAATAAAAATTTCAATAAACTTTGAGTCAAAGGGAGTGGAGGAGATGTAACAACCAGATGTTAAATTTAAGCCATTGATAGAAATAGACAGTGCCCTCTTTTCATAAATTACCTGCTTTTATTTGTATTAAAAAGTAATGGCAAATGTCAGATGACTCCTAGACCATCCTTCTGAATACAAGAAATACTATGCTGTTTAACTCTCTAAACACAAATTAAAGCAATGTTAAACATAGATGCATTTAATGTGTTATGTATAAAATAATAGATAAAAGTTCTAGCATACTTTTAGAGTCCTAGTGTGGCACTGTAGGATAAGCACTGTACTGCTAACCACAAAGTCTGTGGTTCAAATCTACCCGTTACTTCTTGGAAGCCCTATACTGGGTCACTATCAGTGGGAACCAATTTGATAGACCTTAACAACAACAGTATACCTACAATGTAAAGGAAAATGAACTGAGTTAAAAATTGAGAATTTCACACATTGCTGTAGGATAAGAACTGGACTGAAGCCACAAGGCTGGCGGTTCAAATCCATCAGCTGCTCCTCAGAAACCCTGTACAAGGGCACTGTGAGTTGTAATTGACAACAACATATCAATTATGAATACCAGTGATAAAATGCAAAATAGAAACAGAACTTAATTAACTGATTAGCCATTTGTTTTCTTTCTTTTTTGTCCTAAATTAGTTTTTTACTGTAATAATGATTGAAAGAAATATAAACCCATCCATTTGGAAAGCCAAAGAAAAGTCAAGTAAATGAAATAAATTTAATAGTAATAGTATGGACGTCCCTTGAACAGAAGCTGTAGAGGTGAAATAAGAACACAGGTAAAAGGTCTATCAATTACTTGGGGTAATAAAAATTGCTTTCCTCCCCTCTATCCTTACAAGGCTCACTATTATCTTACTCATTAAGTCTTATGTCACCTACAAAGAGCAACCTTTGAGACAAGCAGGAACTCAGTGTCCCTTAGTCTGAGACACAGTACCATGTATTTAGTAGGGGTTTAATAAATGCTTCCTGACTTACTGAAGTAAAAGAATAATGAACAAATGTAAAGCAGAAGCTAATTGATAGGCTAAATGCATTAGTGAATTTCAGTGCCCTCTATATGAAAGGTTACTAACCCATCTCAGCTAAGTGCTAAAATTATAATTAAGTCTGACGGGAAGTCCTAGATTTATACCAATATAATTACAAATATTACTTAGCTTAGTAATACAGTATAGCAAGAACAATGAGATGAGTAATTTAGATGACACTGCAAAGTGGGTTTTAATGTTGGAAACTTCTATTACAGTACACAGGATAAGTGAAAGTAGTGTAATTAAAACCTAAGCGTCTGCTCTTTAAAACTCTACTGCTCAGACTCATTAAAATGCATGCTTGCTCAATTAATCCAAACTTTTCCATTAAACACATAAAAATACACTTTCATTCCATGCAAATAAATCTCTACAGTAGATATACTTAAGATCAAATACCAAATAACCATTGTGGTTAAGTAAGATAGCACAGTTGAGTGCAAGGAATCTAACCAGGAGAAGGAAAGCTGAAGAAAGCTCTGCCTCCTTTTTTATTTGTAAATTCCCAGCTATGGCTAAATGAGAATTTGAAGAGTTAGAAGATTAGAAATCCCTAAAATATTTTGGTTTAGATAATATAAATCCTAAGCAAAATGTTTACTTACAAGATAACTTTTACAATCATACACAGATTACATTTTATCTGCCTTTGCATTCTCCAATAATTGACTCTTTTTACATATCAGCTATATTATAAAAAAATTGTTGGATGAATGGCAATCATTTTCATAATCATTTTGTTGCAGAAACATTTTTTTCTCCTTTTAGTTTATTGCCTCAGCAAGAGGTTTATTTCAACATTAAGATAATTTAAATACATAAAATCACAGTATAATGCTTTTATGGCCTTTTAACATCATTTGTCCTGAAAAAAAGTTTTAAATTATTTTAAATTGCCATATTAACTATGCAGGAAAATATTAATTTCAGAGAAAATTTTACTTAAAAAATTTATATCATTCAGTATTCTTTAGATTTTTGTGTATTTAATGATAACAATTACTAATTGCTATGGTATTGGGGGAGAATATTGAAAGTGTCATGGGCTGCCAAAAGAACCAACAGATCTGTGTTGGAAGAAGTGCAGCCAGAGTGCTCCTTGGAGAGCAGGCTGGCCAAACTTTATTTCTCATACTTCGGACATATTTTCAGGAGGGACCAGTCACTGGAGAAGGATAGCATGTTTGGTAAAGTGGAGGGGTCAGAGAAAAAGAGGAAGACCCCAGGAGAGCTGGATTGGCAAAATGGCAGCATCAATAGGCTCAAGCATTGCAACAATTGTGAGGTTGGCCCAGGACTGGGCAGTGTTTCATTCTATTGTACATAGGGTCTCTATGAGTCGGTACCGATTTCATGGCACCTAACAATAGCAACAAATTACTAATCGCAAGGCCTATTTGAACCTTAAGGTGACAGTTCAAACCCAACAGTTGCTCCTTGGAAACCCTATATAGAGTCGTTATGAGTCAGGATCAATTCCACCGCACTTAACAGCAATGACATTAATAAAAACAATAAATATTTTTCTAAATGATTAAGTCCTCATTCTAGACAAATTTTGCAAGAAAATATTAAGAGCCAAATCAAAAGTTATCACATAACTTAAATAGTAATTCAGGATAATTTAAGAAATTTTTGTGAATGTAATTTATCCTAATTTGGAAAGGTAGAATTTATTTAAAGTACAGGTGGAAGTTAAAATGGGGAGTTGGTCTTGAATTTAAAGCATTTACTGACACAAACTTGTAACTTTATGCTACATTTCTGATACAGGTTCTAATTTTAGCTAAAATATTACTTTGCATTTTTTAAAGCAAAATATTTTTGATGACCTAATTTAAAAAATTATTGTAAAGTAATTATAACTCCTATCTAACGCCTATTAGCATTACAAAATCTGCTTCCAAGGTTTTTCTACATCATTCAATGTTTCAAAGAAAAATGGATTTATAAAAATGTTTATAAGATCTCCTATTTTACACATTTCTTCACAATGTATTAAACTGTCTTCTGTTTTCAAAACAAATTATATTTATACAGAGAACAAAAATGTCATTCTTGAAAAGGGGTCAGAGCCACGTTTGAGACAGTTTCTCAGAATCATTTTCCTTGATAAGTGAACAATAAATCAACCACAAATGCTGCAGAAATATTGAAGTGGCAAATAAACAATAAATCCTGAATGGGAGACAAACAGAAAATGCAATAGATTGCTGTTTCTATAATTGTTTAGGAAAACATTTGAATCAAAACACATAAAAACTTTGTTGCAAATATAAATATTGGATGGATTAAAAGTATACCTCTAAATGGTTTTCAAATTTTAGACATATCAGTTTGAAAGGACTTGGTTGCATTTAATTTTAACACGGACATGCCTTGTTATAATGATAATTAGTATTTGGTACATAGAACACATGTTTCCCTCTGGAAAAGTGTATTTTTTTCAATGGTACAATGGTTACCTGTCATTTATGATCCAGTTCAGACAGAGATTGAGAGAGCTAAGATTTTTGCACCTCTTGACAATTTCCATCACAGTTTCATTATCCAGTTCAGTGATATGACGTAGGTCCAAGCTGGAAAGGTTTCTTAGCTGAGATAAATAAAATGAAAAAGTTAAACCTTCTATTCATTCACAAAAATGATAAAAATAGCTTATTAAAAGGTAGTGTGCCACTGTACAATATAAAAACAGACTAAGTATTCCAGAATAATTTCATTAAACTATTAATTTAATATTTAACATACTAAATTAGAAGTCAATTAAGAAATCTATGTAGATTTCAACATATGAATTTCAACAAATATTAAAATCCAATGGATTTCATTGAGGCATCAAAAAAATCAAAAGTCAGCAATCTATTGTCCAATAAAAGGGAAAATCTTTATATATATTACATTAAATGCCTATAGTTCATAAGATTATACTCTCCAAAACAACTCAATTTCAGATATTTAACATCATGATAATAAAACCTCTGTATAAATTTTCTCCTTTTTAAAAGATGAAATATTAGGAAGTGATTAATTCCGAGATTTTTGATAATATTTCATCAATGTACTCCAAATTATACTATAGTGGCTGTGTCTTTTCATGTGAAAGCAATATAAACCACTGTTCAAGAAGTGAAGACTTTTTCAGGGTAATGCCTTCCCATTTTCTTCATTTCCTCCACTTCTTTTCTAAAGTTCCTCTCTTCCTCTGATATTTAGTCCCCAAAGAAAATTATTAAACTCATTCACATAAAGGTGTAGGATCTTAATTATCATCTACAGATAAATTACAGTTTAAATAAAACATTTTATGCCTATGAACAAGCGTAGAAATAATCTGGAGGAATGTGGTAGATCAGATAACGACACACACCCTTACAAATGTGTACAACTTAATAAATTAATGTGGTAATGGGGATTTTACATATGTGCTTAAAGTTACACATTCTGAGATGCGGAGATTATCCTGGATTATCCAAGTGGATTCAATGTCCATTTGGATAGTGAGCCCGCATACTAAAGGCAGACAGATGTGATAGAAGAAGAGGCAGAAGACATGCAAAGTGTGGCAGGGATTTGACTTGTTTTGGTACTGAATCTGCTCTGTATTTATTATCCCTAAATGTACCGTTTGCCTTCCAATAAAGCAGAAGCTCATACATAAGGCAACAGATTTACTTCAGCTCTCATGTTTTCCCCATTCTTCTGAGATCTTAAAGTGTGTTTTACTCTGAGATTTAATTAAGGTACATTTTTTCATGCGCTGACAGTCACACACAAAGCTCACATGGCTTTCCCTAGAACCATTTTGTCCAGCTCCACTTGAAATATGACAATATACAAACGCAGTTACAGAAGGCTAATTCCCAGCAATCAGAATCATTACAAAACACTTATCTAGCACCTCTATGGGATGTGGCATTTTTACTCAAAACTCCACACAAACAACTCTGTCAAATTCATAACATACATTCATTCCCTTGCTTGGGAATTTTATAATAGTGCCCTCCAGTGTTTCATAAAAACTCTACCTAAAATAATTCTTCAGAGTCTGAAACAAATAATTACATTTAGGAAACTGACATTTTAATTAAATTTACTTTCCTTATAATTCAGTGGTAGTATTGGGTTATACAAATCACAGAGGATTTGAATAAGCAACGCCTTACAACCAAGAGCTTCTAAATGCTTCACTCCTAGTTTTAAACATTTAGGGAAAGTACTTTGAAAGAAAGCCAGATGAGCATGTAGAATGAAGCTAATCAACTTTCAGTTTAATACTGCTTTTGTTAGGAAACATATGATTTCTAATAAATTCATTTTAAAGACTAAGCTTAGTCAATTTTTTGTATGGCCATGTACTTAAATATAAAATGAGACACTAAAATGTTACTTAGAAAACACAGGCTCAGAAGATTATAAAAAAGATCTCACATGGTTCCCAAATTTTCTTAAGGCCCTGGGAAAGTAAAAAAAATGAAATCATTTTCCAGGCTAACTAGTGAGTGAAACAATGAGGACTCACAAGTACATTGGTAAAGGCAGTATGGGTGTTCCACTGCTTCAAGTTACCAAGGATGGTTTCTTCCATGAGGCCAGTTAGAGGTGATCCTTGTTGAAAAGAATAGAAATGTCTGTATTGCTAAACAAGTTCAAATGTCAATTAACACTTAGATTACTCCTTGACAGTCCTCCAGATGCTGACCTTACTGAACTGATTTCTTCATAATCAGTTATAATTTTTCAGGAGCAAAATCAAGAGTTAAGATAGAAGGCCTTGCTGATGAAGTGCTACTGGGGTTGTAGATCAGCACTACCCAGTCATCTGAAAAATCACCTGTCAAGTGCTAGGATATGGGGCGAAAGATCAAAGGCATGGCGAGAAAGATGGCTCATATAAAAACAGCTAAAGGAAGCTATGGAGTCCTGGTGTGTAGCTATAGGATAAGCATTGGATTTCAAACCACAAAGTCAGCAGTTCAATCCCACCAGCCACTCTTCATAAACCCTATATAGGATTGCTGTAAGTTGGAACCAACTCATCGGCACTTAACAACAACATAGAAAGCTAGAGGAGCTAGTAGCTCCATAGGGTAAGTATTGGGCTGCTACCGAGAGGTTGGCAGTTCAAACTCACCAACCACTTCTAGGGAACCATATACATGGTTGCTATGAGCCAGAACTGACTCAATGGCAATTAGCAACAATGATTACAATCAGAAGACTGATCAGACCACTGCTTTAACAACATCCCTATATCTAACGTCTAGCAAATTGATAACTTGGAAGTTACTGGCATAAAATGAGTGTATTGAGAGCAATTTTAACATATCAGAATTTGGAGAGAGGGATTTGAGCAGGTTTAGTGCTATCAGGAGTCCTGGTGTGGTACTATAGGATAAGCCCTGGACTGCTAACCACCATACGAGGTTCAACTCCACCAGCCACGCCTCAGAAACTCTATACAGGGTCTTATGAGTTGGGACTGACTTGATGACAGTAAAAACAGCAACAAAGTGGATTTTGAAGTGTAATAAGGATGGACAGTGAAAGTCCTGAGAGGAAAGTTCTGGAATTTATTTTTGCATTTGAAATGGTTTTCCTTTCTAAAGGCATAGGAGCAGGTGAGAGATAAGATCATAGGTGAATAAAGAAGATTAATCTGGCTGGTGATGAGGCAAAGGAGTTAGAAGGAACCACTCTGAGGAGAAACAGAACTGTGAAGTGTTCTGGAAAGTTGAATTCATCTTGGACTAGAATGTTGAAAGATGTTAGATTCAATAACTGGCTATATCCAACTAACAAATTACATAGAATGTTAAAAATAAAACAAGACAAGGGGAGTAAAGACCAATGCAGAAGAAGGAAATGGGTTATAATTTTAAATAGGATAGTCAAGCACAGTCTTCTTGAAAAGATGACTTGAGGCTAACTTTTAAAGTATTGCTACAAAATCACAGAAACCTTTATTAAAACAAAAATGCAAAAATATTGTTTCTCAATGTATTTTCCATCTAGGTCTACACACTTTTGAAGGTGAAGTGTTTCTAGCTTTCTAACCCTTTCCTGAAGAATTCTTTGTTCTTCAATTTACAGCAAACCAGCAGTTTTGGGATTGTCACAGGACTCAAATTGTGTTCCTTTTAAATGTACTTTGAGTTGTGGGAACCAAAAGAAAACTGAAGAGGCAAGATAAGGACTTCGTTGTTAATAAAGAGACGTTTCCCAAAGAAGTTCTTCTAGGACAGTCCTTGCTACCCTCGAATAAGGTGTACTGATGGGAGGGGGAAGGAAAGGCGGTGCAGCCAATATGATTTTTTTTCCTCACCAATGCAATTTTAAATTTTCTTAAAACTCCTTCATAATAAGCCCCTGTGGAACAAATCCTTACAGCAAGGATCATTCCCACCCCCTCCATACACAGAGTAGACAGGGATGGGCAACTCAGACATGGGCTGCCCAAAATGGAGGGGCTACAAAGGCAAGAAGTGATTAGCTTACAAGCTTTCAAGAGGGAAGCCAGATTCACAGGGCGTGAAGGAAGGTAGACTCTCCACTGAGTAGTATACAATCTGTCTAGGCAGGGCTGATGAAATGAAATCCGGATGGATCTCTTGTGATACAATAGTGAATAATTGTTAACTGAACTGCTTGTGAGGGTTGGAATTGTAAAGGTAGATGTTTTGTAGCTAGGAGGGGAGTGATTAACTTTTCAGCCTAAGAGTGATTAACTTTTCAGCCTAAGGGAGAAGAGCAGAGAGCGGGACCCTACCCAGAGAAGCAGTGATGCCTGAGATGGAAGCAGAGACGATGACATGGAGAGATGGAGCAGTTGGGGACTTTAGACTCAGAGAGGGAGAGGGGCTGTGTGCTGATGACTGGGGGGCATGCTTTGTATACCCTTTGGATGGTTGATGATGCATGGAGGGGACTGCAACTATAGCAATGAAATTATATACTATAGGATGAATGTTTTCCCATGTAAACTATCACATAATTCACAATAAAACATTAAGATAGATAGATAGATAGATAGATAGATAGATAGATAGATAGATAAATAAATAAATAAATAAATAAGACCCTGTGATTGTCCTGTGTTCTTTGAGAAATTTTATCAAGATTACCCCCCCTTTGGGATCCCAAAAGCAATCACCATAACCTTTTGAGCTGACCTAACTTTAATTTAACTGGCCTAGCAGACCCCCTAGGAGTCCTGGTGTGGCACTGTGGATGTTAATGCGCTGGGCTACAAAGTCGGTTTGAACTGCAAGGTCAGCAGTTCAAGCTCACCAGCCACTCCTCGGAAACCCAATACAGGGTCACCATGAGTCAGAACCGACTCAACAGCACTTAACAACATTAAGCAGATGTCCTTGGAAGCCTGTTCTGGCTGGACCTTTTCTTCTTTTTCTAAGTTTTATTGTAAATACAGTGATAGTTTACATGGGAGAACATTGGTTTTATGCTGTTTCATTGCAATGATTACAATCTCTTCAGTGTATCATCATTCTAGAGCATTTGCTTCTATTCCCCCTGTTGTTTTTTGGTGTTTTTTTTTAGTTTAGTTTTTTTGTTTGTTTGTTTTGTGGGAGGAGG